TGGAGAGTAGCAGGAAGATCTTTAATCCTATAGCAAAGTTTACATTTTTTGTCCAAGGACAATTTTCTTGAAGGATTGTATGTGGTCAAGTTATATGTTTTTGAATTTTGCATGAGTCATTGCTAGATAACAACTTGCAGCATTGTTACTTCTTGCAATAATTTCAAGTAAGTCACGTTTATGCATAATAATTGTTACAATTTGCTGCAGAAAGCATATTTTAGATTTAGGTCAAGGAGAATAAAGCAAAAGAAGAAGGCGGGTGTTGATCCAATCAGTACTGCTTTTGATCAGATGAAGGTTTGCACTTTTGTTCTTTAACCATGACAGTGCCTTGGTATATTTGCTTTTGGTGATCAATCTTCTTTTTCTGTTTCCCAGAGGGTGAAGAATCCACCTATAAGTTTGAAGGACTTTGCAAGCATTGAATCTATGAAGGAAGAGATTAATGAGGTCGTGGCATTTCTGCAAAACCCTCGCGCTTTTCAAGAAATGGGAGCTCGTGCCCCTCGGGTATGTTACTGCAAGTGGTGTTTGAGAATTTCTTAGTTTTAAGATGGTGGTGAATTTGCTTTTTTCCAAGAGATTTGCTTCCTTACTAGTGCATTTATGTGTAGAAATTTGTGACTATGAAAAGGCACTTCCAGTATGTACTTTCTACTTAACAGTTATACATGCATAGACTAATATCTTATGCAGAGCCAAGTCAAATAAACGATAAACCTGTTAGAAAGAATGATGTTGAGGAGAAACTATTTCTGGTGTAATGCATTCTGATGTTTAAAATGAAGGTTATGTCCCCTCAACAATAATCATAACCTCTCTGGTCCTACAAGGCGGGTTCTTGCTGTATGTTGTAGTCAATTTGTGTATTCAGTAAAGTTCAATGGCTTTTCTATGTGCATAGTCGAAGTTGTTGTGCTAACTTGACATCAAGTCAGATGTAAATTGATCTAGATCTCCGATATATCACCTTTAGACTCCAATTGATCCTTTTAAGTCCTCGTGTATTGTGTTAGTTTTATCTTTAGGTAAGCCTTATTTCTGATACTGGTGCAACTAGATTCAGCATCTGCTTAATGGTGAAAGGAGTATAACACATACCAACTTGGGCTTGGTTAACAACATATAGTCATAATGCAATACATGCAGTCATGCACAGTCATGTCCTATGTTAATAACCTTCCATGAAATTAGTAATAAAAAATTGTTGGTACCATAATGATTAATGAGTATTCTTTGTAATATATGGCCAATCTACTTTATGATTAACAATGGTTCTTGTAAACGGTTACCACCGTTACACCAAAAAAAACCCAGCAGCATTGTTTGTGTGTGCGTGGGCGAGTATATGTGCATTCCCACAAAATATGTCTGAGCTAAAATGATGCTTTATGCTTGCACTAAACTCTATTTCATGTGTGATATGACAGGGAGTTCTTATTGTGGGGGAGAGAGGAACTGGAAAAACAACCCTAGCTCTGGCAATTGCAGCAGAAGCTAAGGTGCCACTTGTTGAAGTTAAAGCCCAGCAGTTAGAGGCTGGTTTGTGGGTTGGCCAAAGTGCATCTAATGTTAGAGAGCTGTTTCAAACAGCACGTGATCTGGTCAGTCTGGTTTCTTTGTGTATTGTATTGCCTCTCCTTACAATTTCCAATACCTGGTGATGGTGTAATCTGCATCTTCTTCTTGTCGTTATTCTGAAATCTAAAGTAAATAAAGGAGGAAGAAAAGGGTCTTGTTGATATTGGCTGCTGATATAGCATGGATAATGGATAAAGACATATTTCCCTTTGCATGCACTCATAAAAGTTTATAGGTTTGTTTGCATGCATGTTTTTGTGGAAAGGAAACAAGTAAAACATGTTTATCTTGGAGTGCAGCTCATAATTAACTTTATGCAAGAGCAAGACTGCTAATAAGAAATTTTGCAAAAACATACCTGTAAATCTTTTTTGTGAATTAGTGGGTGTTTGGATTGGCTTATTTAAGTAGTTTTTGGCTTTAAAGCCCATTTTTAATTTTGGAAGTGTTTGGGAAACACAAAAACACTTTTTAGGCGGAAAAAGTACAAAAAAGGCCAAATGCCAAAATTTGGGTGTTCCCAACTTATGGCTTTTAGCTTATAAGCCACTTAAAAAAAGTCAATCCAAACACCCCCTTAATGTTATGATCATTTCTCGACTGACCGAGTCTTTCACAAATAATTTGAGGAGAAGTCAACAATACTGAAGGAGTAATATAGTGTATCATGTCAAGGTACACATCTGGTGCATTTTTCTGAGCTGTTTTTTGTAGTGATATCTGCTTACTTCCTTATCCTGTTCAGGCTCCTGTAATCATATTTGTGGAGGATTTTGACCTCTTTGCTGGAGTCAGAGGGAAGTTTATCCACACTAAAAAGCAGGATCATGAAGCCTTCATCAATCAACTTTTGGTGGAACTTGACGGGTAAGTGAGTTCTCATGATTTTTAACAAATTTAGATATTGCAGCAACAGAAAAGCATCATCTTGATGTAAATCATTCATCAGGAAAATGGCCTCATATAGCTATTGTTGAGTTACCCAACTCATCTTCTATAATAGTTATGTCTGTTTTTGATGTGGAGAAGGAGAAGGTAGGCTGATATGAAGACCCGGGGATTTGATTCAGTGGTAAGGACACAATATTTTGGATGTGTGGATAGAGCGCATGCCATCTTGACATAGAGCCCAATATTTAAGTGGGAGCAGGGTAGAAGGGGAGCCATACTTCCTCGAGTTTTGAACTTGTGGGTCAATTGATGTTGGCCAGCTATTCCCAGGGGATTTCTCGGTTGTCAAAAGAAAAAAAAAGGACTGATATGGTTTACTAGCTGTTAATTCTTCCATAAAGTACCATTGTTGATTCTGTAATTATTCTAAATTTCAACTTTATCTTCTTTTACATTGTTGAGTTGTGTCTACCAACTCATATAAAAGCTTAATATATTAAGATATATAATTGGCCTATATTAGGCTTAGCATATAGTTTCTCATGTGCAAGCCTAATTTTTTATTTTAAGCCAAGAACGTAGGGATATTTTGTTGACGGATGGTGGTGGGACTCGAATGTAGGACCTCTGTCACTTTGATATCATATAGAGTTGTGTCTGCCATTTTATCTTAAGGTTTAAGCTGGTAAAAGAAGGAAGAAGCCAAGTTAATTGTTTTAGGTTTACAGCAGACATCTACAATGACGTATGTCCATTCTCTCAGGTGAATATCATTGCCAGTTTCATGCCAAAAAGTTAGATGGAGTTCAAATTTTGTGTTCCAAGTGAACAACCTAAAATGACGAACAAAACCCTGCCTAGTAAGAGTAATATTAGTACTCATTTAGCTATGGGAAATTCTCCATTGAATTTCCTTGAAACAAATTGTAATAATAAGTAAATGTTCTTATTCCTATCTTGGCATGCCTTTGGGAGCTAAGACTAAATCTTTGAGCATCTGGAACTCTGTGGTGGAAAAATGTGAAAAAAAGTTAGTGAACTGGAGAAGTCAATACTTATCCTTGGGTGGCAGAGTCACACTTATCAACAGTGTTCTTGATGCCATG